TGCTCAGAAGCATCCGATCCTCCTCCCAAGCCGTAACCCTTTAACTGACATCATCATTCGAGAAATACATGAATCAAATTATCACGCAGGTATTCAGCACACGTTAGCTGCCATGCGTCAGAGGTTCTGGGTATTCGATGGTAGAAATCAAGTGCGCAAAGTAATTCGCACATGCGTACGGTGCTTTAGATTCGACTCTAACAACGTCCAGCCCAAAATGGGAAACCTCCCCGCAGTGCGCGTAAGTGAGGCAATTCCATTTTCTAATACCGGTATCGATTTCTGTGGGCCCTTTTATATTAAGGAGCGAAAATTCCGGAACAAGACACGAATTAAGGTATATGTTTGTATATTTGTGTGCATGTCTGTTAAAGCCGTACATCTTGAGATCGTTTCCGATCTGACAACCGACGGATTTTTAGCCGCGCTACGACGTTTCGCCGCGAGACGAGGATTACCGGAGCATATATACTCCGACAATGGCACGAACTTCGTCGGTGCCAGTAATCAATTAAAGGAAGTATACGCCTTGCTTAACTCCGAAAATCACAAGCATCGGATAAACAAATTCGCGAGCGACCGTCGTATAGTATGGCATTTTATTCCTCCGGCAGCACCACATTTCGGTGGACTTTGGGAGAGCACTGTAAAATTATTTAAACATCATTTTCGACGCGTGGTAGGAGACTCCTTATTCACGTTCGAAGAACTAAATACGTTTGTCGCCGAAGTCGAGGGGATTTTAAATTCTAGGCCAATTACCACACTTTCGTCTGATCCCAATGATATGTCCGTTTTAACGCCAGCTCACTGTCTGATTGGCAAGCCTCTAACGGCCCTCCCGGAGGGAGATTTAACTTGTGTTCCAGCTAATCGTCTGTCTACCTGGCAACACATTACAAAGGTTAGACAAGACTTCTGGGCACGATGGTATCTGGAATACCTTAACGAACTCCAAATACGCCACAAGTGGACCAAAGACGGCCCACAATTGAAGATTGGAACCATAGTTCTGATCAAAGACAAACGGATTCCCTGCACGCAGTGGATGTTAGGCCGAATCACAAAACTGTTTCCAGGCCAGGACGACGTAATTAGAACCGTCTCCATTACAACAACATCTGGAGAGATTATGAGACCAGTCAAGAGTCTCTGTCCATTACCAATGGAACAAGCGTAATCACTCCATCATTAGCATAAGGCCGATTCTATTTTATAAGTCAAGCGTACTCACAACAGATCATTCACATCAAATTAGATTGATCGTTAACACTCTCAACGAGGGGAGTATGTTGCGTAGATGAGCGCTATAAGTTGTG